TGAACCACGGCCATGGCTGAGGGTCAGGCTAGATAAGCACCTTAGCCTCTGGACTATTTCTTTGGCTTGGAGAAACTCTTGTGTGTCACCAACGGGCACACAGTGGCCAAGGCAGGGAGAAGTCTCCTCTGGGTATTTACTCAAAACAATTAAAATCAAGGGGCCAGGGACCAGAGAGACAGGAGACAACGGGTTGGGGGGTCTGCTGTGCCCACGACCAACCCGGTTTCATCCTGGCCCCATGTATGGTTCCCTGAGTACCGCCGTGAGTGACTATCAAATGGAGTCCAGAGCCGACCCGAGGATTGGCTGAAAAAGATACCAAATATTGATTGGGCGTGGCTCAGCCTTCTGGCCTCCAGCAAGAAAAAGGAAAACGCGCGATGTAACACATTCAACTACGAGTACCGAGAAACCTGCGGCAGGGGCCTCCACTCTCTCCCACTTACACGTGCTGTTGGGACGGGTGCGATTCACAGAAGCAAAGGTAAGACTGGCCGTCACCATAGCCAGGGTGGGTTGGTGGGGTGCAGGAGGCAGGGGTGGGCACAACCCCGGGGCCCTATGTTCAGTTCTGCCAGATACCTTGGGGCTAGCTGGCATCCCACCGTGCCACACTGCCTGCAGAGACCAGTGCTGTCTGTGGGTCCATCTCTTAGGAAGTACTCGTGCCCCGGGAAGAGTTGAAATAAATATCAAAAAGATGCCCACCAGAGCTGCCCTGAGCACAAGGCGGGAGATGGCCAAAGTTTCCGGCGCCCGGGTAGCTCATCCATTGAAAATGGTCTGTGTCGGGGCTGGAGCGATAGTACAGTGGGTAGGGCATTTGCCTTGCACACAGCCGACCTGGGTTCGATTCCCAGCATCCTATATGGTCCCCCGAGCACCGCCAGGAGTAATTCCTGAGTGCAGAGCCAGGAGTAACCCCTGAGCATCGCCGGGTATGACCCAAAAAGAAAAAAAAAGAAAAGAAAATGGTCTGTGTGTCAATGAGAAAAGGCCTCCCCGAAAATGATTCTTCTCCAGCTCCCCAAAAGGAGTGCAAGCACGTTCCTTAGAGCAGAAACGGAACCAGGCGCCGGGGAGAGAACCCAAGGGGCTGGGTTCGGATGGTTTGGATGCAGGAAGCTTAGTTTGAGCCTCCGCAGGGCGGCATGGTCCCTGCAATACTGCCAGGAGAGAGAGCCCCCAGGAGTAACCCCTGCCCATGATGGGCACGGCTCCCCCAAACCGATCAATCAACCCGAACAGAACCAATCCCACACAGCTTTCACTGGCCCTGCTACGGAGCACGCTCCTGGTACCAGACAGAGATGAGGACCAGACTGGACATGCAGCCAGCAGGCCACGGAAACCGAGGGCTCAGGAGCAGACACTCGGGTGCTCAGAACTGGACACCAGCATGATGGACGCTGCTGCCTGCCCATGTGCCTGAGACAGCTGCTTAATCTCTCTGCTCTCTCTAAAGAAACGGGGCTCTTCGGGGCATTGTGCAAATTCAAAGAGAAGCGACAGTGGCCCCAGGGCAATAGTACAGTGGGGAGGGCTTTGGCTTTTGATCCTTGGCATCCCATATGGTCCTCCCTCAGCACCTCCGGGAACAATTCCAGAGTTCAGAACCCGGAGGAACCCTTGAGTATCACCAGGTTTGACCCCAAAAAGTGGAATGGAGAAACGGCAGCATGGGGCTCTCTGGGGAAAGCCTCTCACGGGGTGCCGGGGGCCGCTGAGGCCCCTGATCCAAACTGATGAGTCCCCTGTGAAGGGGAGCTGGAGGACAGGTCCTGGGGGGCACTTAGCTTGGGCAGGGCTGGCCACAGGTGGGAGAGCGGTGTGGGGAGGTGATGTCCAGTCTGACATCCAAGGGCTTGAGCGACACCCAGAGAATGGTCCATTCGGCCCCGCCAGCCAGAGCGCGGCAGGAAAATCATCAGGGGTCTCTGGGGGCTGCAGGGCAGGGTCGGGGCCTGGGTGAGAACTGGGCTGAGCTGGAGGGGAGCAGGCCATGTGGGCTGGCCCCGCTGTGCGTCCCCGGGCCTGTCTCATCCCCTGTGAGATGGATCCAAGCCCTAAGTCAGGCCAGAGGGTGCCTGCCCCGGGCCAGCTCCTGGGCCTCCTTCCAGGCTCTCATGGAGTGGTCCTCCCTCTCTCTGCCCCTCCTTCTCCACGCCTCCCTCCCCTCCAACCCTGAAAGGTGGCAGAGGCGGCTTTGAGTCGGTGCTGCTGGCTGGGAACGCCGGCTTCTGGCTCCCCGCTCTGCCACTCGTTTATCTGAGACTTTGTCAAGAGCACGGCAGGGACCCGAGCCCGGGCCGGGTGCCCGGCCCTGCCTGCACCTTCCCCATCGCACGCCAGCGGCCCACACGGTCTGAGCCCCAGGTGCCAGAGGCATCCTGGCAGCCAGGCCCGGCCCGGCCTGGCCCGGCTCTGTGTCCTGCAGGAGAGGGTGACAAAAACATTGGTAGACGCCGGGTCATACAGATGGAACAAACTTGGGGGCCAGTCCAGGTGGCGGCCCTAGACCCACAGTTTCTGGCCTTGAGCTGTCCGGGCAGGGAGGGACTTGGGGCGACAGATGCTGACCCGGGAGCCAATGGGGACGGGCCCCTGTCTGGGTCTGTCTGGGTCTGGGCGGACCAGGCTGAGGTCGAGCAGGGTTTGCCAGGACTGGCCGAGGCCCCCCAAAGAGACCTGCAGCCTCAGCCTGTCGGGCCCCTACCCCCTGGAGCTGCCCCCGGCCTTCCTGTAAACAGAGACACCCACCCCCTTCCCCGTACCTTCCGTCTCTGAGCGTTATTTCCTCTCTAGGTGTGTCGGTGACGTCACCTCCAGAACCACAGAGCCCTGCCTCTTGGGAGGGTACAGGGCAGCAGAGTAAGGGCACAAGGGGTCCAAGGCAGCAGTGTGGGGATCCTGCCCCTGGAACTGGGCGTATGCGGACACGGGAGGGGCCTGGGAGCCGGGGTGGAGGAAGCAGGTGTTCTGCTGGTCGGTGTGTTGCCGGGACCATGGGTGCACGCTGATCTCACGGACAGAATCACAGATCAGGGCTCCCCCATAACAGTGGGGAAAAGTTGGGGCTGGAGCGACAGCACAGCAAGTAGGGCGTTTGTCTTGCACGTGGCCAACCCAGGTTCAATTCCCAGCATCCCATATGGTCCCCCCGAGCACAGCCAGGAGTAATACCTGAGTGCATGAACCAGGAGTAACCCCTGTGCATTGCTGGTTGTGACCCAAACAAACAAACAAACAATGGGGGAAAGCACCCAGAAAACTGTCCCCGATGTCACGCCTCACTCTGCGCCCCTCCAAGACACATGCCTCTGAAGGCTTGTCCACAGCAACTCCACTCCCTATGTGGCCTCTGGCTTGGTGGTCACTGAGATCAGAGGCCGGATGTCCCTGTGGCCATACCCAACCCCATGGGAGTGGCAGCACATAGGAAGAGAATGGGCCTTCCAGAACCTTCCCTGACCCACACCCACCTGGCTGGTTGCCCGTCCTTACCTCTGTCCAGGATGCCCCCACTCCTGGGAGACCCAGGTCCCCCCAGCCAGGAGCGTAAGAGCACCTGGGTAGCTCCCTGTCCGCTCTGGGGCCCCCACGAGCCCATCACGGGCCACCCCCACCCCTCAGCTTCCCTCCCACCCTGAAAGTGGGACCCATAGGTCCGTTCGTGAGGTGCCTGTGATCTTCCCGTTCTGCCTCGTGCTGGCTCTGGTTTGAAAAGATGACAAGAAGCACAGTGGCCCTTTACTCTCATGACACCCCCTGCTCCCCCACCATGCCACCTGCGTCTCAGTGGGCAACACACTGACAGCCCCCATGTGCCCTTTGTGTTTCTGTCCCTACCAGCAGCCCGGCCACCTTCTAAAGGGCCAGGCCCTGAGAGCAAGTTCCCCACCAAATTCTTTTTTTGTTTTTTGTTTTGTTTTTTTTTTGGCTCTTTGGGTCACACCTGGCGATGCACAGGGGTTACTCCTGGCTCATGCACTCAGGAATCGCTCCTGGCGGTGCTCGGGGGACCATATGGGAAGCTGGGAATCGAACCTGGCCTCACCATGTGCAAGGCAAATGCCCTCCCCGCCGCACTATCGCTCCAGTCCCCTCCCCACCAGATTCTTGCTTTGTCCAACTTTCATTCATTGGGCAGTGCCGGGGGTCAGCTGTCAAGCAAGCACTCGAGCACTAAGTCAGATCCTCAGATCTTTTGGGTATTATTTCTTTTCCAGATGAAATTCAGAAGCAACACTAAAATGAAATCAGCAAATCATCAACTTGGATTGGAGAGAGAGTGCAGGGAGGAAGGCATTTACTCGTCTTGCATGTATGTGGCCGACCCTGGTTTGAATCCCTGGCACCACTTACGGTTTCCCTGTGGGATCTCTCCTGAATACAGATCAGGAATAGCCCCTTAGTGCTGTCCAGGGTGGACTAAACTCCAGCCCCAACATACATACACACACACACACACACACACACACACACACACACACACCCCACACACACACACAGACACACAGACACACAGAGTGATTCAATAGAGGTTAAGGTGTTCGCCCTGTGCGTGACTGACCCTGGTTTAATTCCCGACGCAAATGGTCCCTAATAGTCACTCTAAGGAGTGGCCCTGAGCACAGAGCCCGAAGCAGCTCCTGAGCACTGTCAGGTGTGATCCATCTCCCCTGCAGCACAGAAAGAATTCAGTGGGAAACCAAACCACTCCTGAGATCCACTCACCACCCCAGGCCTGCTTCCGCAGGCCGGGCCCCCAAACCGCAGGCAGCCGAGGGGGAAAGGGCGCATTGCCCTTGCGGAATGCCAAGAAAGGAAACCCTGGCTTCAGGGGCCAGCAGTGGGGGCCATCGCTCTCCCTGACGAAGGGGGAGGATGGAAGGGCCGTCATTCCCCGAGTGGGTCATCCCGCTGCCCTCTGGGTGTGGGCTCTGAGCTCCCGGGCAGGTGTAGATGGGGCGGGGGCGGGGGAAGGGGGCTCTTACCTCCCTGAGGCAGGTGTAGATGGGGCAGACGAGCACGCGGAAGGGCTCCCCGGTGCTGCTCCTCATGGTGCCGAACACCTGGCACAGGAAGGTGACGAAGCCCAGCCAGCGCTCCACGTCCCGCTGCTGCAGTTCCTCCCGCACCGTGAAGTCCTTCTGCGGAGGCACAGAACCCCAGTCAGGCCCATGCCACTGCCAGCCCTGTCCGACCCCCGTCCCTCGAACCCTGTCCGACCCCCATCCCTTTGGCCGGGACCCCAGCTCCACAGAAACGCCCATGGACGCAGACATGGGAGGGCTGAGGCCAGCTCTGAGCGGGAGGAGCAGGTCAGCTAACGGGCTGCCACCCAGATGCTGCCCGAAGCAGGCGCTGAGGAGGCCGAGATGTGGCCGGCACCGCCATCAGCCCGGGGGCACAACCGCACACAGCCTTTCTCGGGGTGCTGTGGGGCCGGAGGGTAAGGGAGGGGGTCAGAGGCTAAGGCCGGTGAGGCCGTGAGAAGCTAGGACTGGAGTTTCCCAAACTGCATCTGAGCTGGTCTCTGTTTCCTCCGGATAACCGCAGGCAGGCACTCAGGGTTCTGCATGAGCTGGGAGTCTCTCGAGAAGGCAGGGCTCCGTGGTAGGCTGCCAGCCAGCAGGGACCGGGGCAGCACGGGGCCCCGGAGTCACCCACCGGTTTGAGGTGTCTGAGGAGGGGACTGTTAGCCCCAACAGACACCGAGCACGCCCCAGGGGGTCCCTGAAGGATCCACAAAAGTCACTGAGTTTAGCAAGCAGAGGTGAGGGAGCAGAGAGCATCAAGGAGGCCGGGGAACTCGGGCCCAGCTGGCGACCTCGGGGAAATGCACTCCTCTGCCAATGCTGACGACGATAAATACCAAACCAGCGCCCTAAAAGGCTCCTTGTGCAAAACATGCGAGAGTTGATGTCGGTGAGAACAGCAGCCCCAAGGCACTTTGGTGGTGGATGCAGAACAACATGGAACCCCCAGGGGGCCAGAGAGATAGTCCAGTGGGTAGGGCGCTTGCCTGGCACATGACCAATGGTTGCGGGTTCAATCAACCTCCTAGGGTTCCCTGACCGCTGCCAGGAATGAGAACCAGGAGTAACCTCTAAGCATCGCTGGGTGTGGCATGACAGAAAACAAGCAAACAAAACCGAACCCCTCAAACATACAAACATTTCACACGCTTGTAAGCTGCAAGGGGTTCTGTGGTAGTTAAGAAGACTGGTCACCAGGAGGATTACTCCATAGCTTAGAGGCCAGCCGGATATTCTAGGCGAAAGGGCAGTTCAGATAGAGAAGGGAACACCAAATAAAGGGTGTTTGGAGGATCCTCCCAGGAGGGGAGATGCATGTTGAAAGTAGACTATGGACTGAACATGATTGCCACTCAATGCCTCTTTTGCAGACCACAACACCCAAAAGGAGAGAGAGAACAAAGGGGAATGCCCTGCCACAGAGGCAGGGTGGGAGAGGGGGTGGGGGGAAATGGGCACTGGTGGAGGGATGGGTATTTGATCATTGTGTGACCGAAACTCAAGCACAAAGATTTGTAAATCTACAACTGTACCTCATGGTGCTTCACTAATAATAATAATAATAAAAAAAAGAAGACTGGTCACTTCTGGAGCGATAGCACAGTGGGTAGGGCCTTTGCCTTGCATGTGGCCGACCCGGGTTCAATCCCTGGCATCCCATATGGTCCCCCAAGCACCGCCAGGAGTGGTTCCTGAGTGCATGAGCCAGGAGTAACCCCTGAGCATTGCTGGATGTGACCCAAAAGACAAAAAAAAGGAAGACGGGTCACACAAGAGGGAATCACGGGGCCAGGATGGAGCTCAGGGGGCAGTGCACGTGGGCTTTGCTGCCCACGGCACAGAGCTGCCGCCTGATGCCTAGTCCCTGGCGTGGGAAGGTGACGAAGCCCAGCCAAGGACCCACGTCTAGCGGCTGGAGCCTCTCCCACATCCTGAAGGCCTTCTGTGGAGGCACAAAGTTCCTCCCTAGACACCCCCTGACCTCCATCTCCACCACAAAACCCAACAGAAAAGTCAAACAAGGAACAGGTGATGAGCTAAACCTTAGGCCGACACAAAGTGTGAGATGGGGCCAGGGAGCAGGTGATGGCCGATGGGAATGAGAAACTGAAGAGGCAGGTGAACAGAGGCGGGGGAGGCCAGCGTGGGTGCAGGAGACACAGATAGACACGGGTGGAAAAATGAAAAGCGAGCGGCAGCACGAGCCAGGCCACGCGCCCTTGGCGTGACAGGCACCTCCACAGAGGACAGCCACAGACGTGGGACCGAACACGCTGCAAACAACCCGAAGCAAACCAAAAAAAAAAAAGGCCAAACAAGGAAGAACTAGGTAGGCCTTCCAGCGACAAGGACCTGTCGTGTTCCCACCATTTGTACTCAGCAGGAAAACTTTTTTTTTTTTTTCATTTGAAGTCAAGGGGAAAACTTCTAAAAACAGCTCTGAAGGAAAAAAAAAACACCCTTGTGTTATTTATTTATTTATTTATTTTAAACAAAGGAATAAAAATATGGTTGGCCTTCTACTTCTATATTTGATAAAATCCAGACATCGAAGGAACATCTTCCTATGTTTGGCGGAAAGGAACACACGGAGCCGAAAGTGAGAGCGGCAGAGACATCTTACATAAGCCAATGTTTTTGAATAACAACAAAAAATATCCCACCTACATGCTTATCTCTCAAAACATTCCACAGAACAGCTGCCATGAGAAAACAGCATGCGCTTCCTCAAGGCATGAAGTCTAGAGGTACCCTACGGCCCAGCAATGGAAAGCAAGATCTTCACAAGACAGCGACACCCTTTGTGGCCAGGGCAGTGGCATTTCCAACAGCTATGAGGTGGAAGCAAGCCCAGAGCCCATGCATGGATGGATGAGTGGGCCCATGCAATGCTGCACGGATGCACAAAGGAATATTACTCAGCCTGGAAGAGGAAGGGGATTCTGATAATGACTGTCACGTGGGTGAACCACAGAGACATGACAAGAAGGGAAATAAGTCAGTCACAAAAGAAGGAACATTTTTCCCCACTTTTGGTGGGATGGGGTGGGGGTGGGGGGTGGGAGGGATGCTGGGACCTGTGGTGGTGGAGGATGGGCGCTGGTGGAGTAATGGGCACTTGATCATCGTATAACTGAAACCCAAGCACAAAAATTTGTAAGTCTATAATTGTACCTCATGGTAAAGGTAAAGGCCCTCCCGTTGATCGTCGATTTGCTCGAGCGGGCCCAGTAACGTCTCCATTGGAGACTTTGTTGTTACTGTGTCTGGCATATCGAATACTCTCGGTAGCTTGCCAGGCTCTCCGAGTACCTCATGGTGTTTCACAAAATAAATAAATAAAATAAAATAAAATGCTAAGAGGACAAAAAAATGAAAAAAGAAATAAAATACAAAAAAAAATGATATTGTGGGGGCCACGCTCAACAGTGCTGGAGGAAGGGATGGGACATGCAGTGCTGGGGGCAGGACTCAGAGGCTCATGCAAGCAAGGGAGGTGCTTTTCCACCTGGGCCACTTCCTGGGCTACTTCCTGGGCACTTAGATTGATATGGAGACCACTGAGATTCCCAGAGACAGGATGGAGCTTGGGAAGCCCCAGGGTCCAGGGGACATGGGTGGATGAAGAGTTGCTGCGAAATGCGAACGAAGAATGGAGACGGATTGGGTGACAACGTGACTGCACTATTATAACTAAGTCAGACAATAGGGAACGGTTGATGGCAGACTTGATATTATGTCTTTTTTTGTAAACTATAACTAAAGATTTGCTCGAGCGGGCCCAGTAACGTCTCCATTGGAGACTTTGTTGTTACTGTGTCTGGCATATTGAATACTCTCGGTAGCTTGCCGGGCTCTCCGAGAGGGGCGATAATTCAAAATATCTAAGGATATTCTGGGTTGCTTTATTTTTTGGGGGGGGATTTCTTTGGGTCATACCCAGTCATGCTCAGGGGTTACTCCTGGCTCTGTATTCAGGAATTACTCCTGGCGGTGCCTGGGGGATTCATATGTGATGCTGGGGGTTGAGACTGGATTTGCTGTATTCGAGGGAAGCGACCTACCTGCTGTGCTATCACTCCAGCCCCAGATCAATGGTTTTCTTTCATGCCTGCTCCGGTCAATAATGTATCATTCAATCCAGAGGAAATCATAGTATAGACAGACTAGAAGTGAAACTTGAAGGTAAACTCGGGAAGTTAAGTCAATGTAAGAAATTATCATTTGGAGTAAAAAAATGATCAAGGTGGAGTGAAAAAAAAATCAGAAATGATCTTTAAAAGAAGACATTTAAAAATGTACTTTGAATAGGAACTGCACAGCAGTAGGGCTTTAAGAACCCAAGCCTAAATTCCCAAAGGCTGGGGTCTGGGTCGGCTCCGTGTCAAAAGCCTTTGCCTAGCAAGCAGGAGTCTGACTCCTGGTGCTGCCCACATGGCCCAGTGAGCACCGTCCTGCAGTGCATGGTCTGCAGGGCACCGTCAGTGGTGTGCAGGCACTCCGCCCCCTGCACCCCGCACCAAGCCAACAGTGAAAACCAGCACCAGGGATGTGAGTCTCAGGGTGGATGTGTGGGAACACCAGGACCAAGCCCATGTGATCCCCGTCCTTGCCACAACAGCAAAGGGCAGGTAAGGGGGACCAGAAATGGCCAAAGGGGATGGAGGCTGGTACAGCAGGTGGGGCACTCATCCTGAGTGGATCTGACGCGGGTTTGATCCCTGCATCCCTTACGGTCCCCTGAGCCCTGCCAGGCGTGGTCCCTGGACACTTCCCCTCTAACACGCCCCTGCCCCCAACAACAACAAACAACAACAACAACAAAAGCGCACTAGCACTAGGATGTGCAGATTTGAAAACTGGATCTATAAAATTAAGGGGTGGATGGGCAAAAGGAAGTATAATTAAAGAACTGGCAAAATCCAAGTCATTTTCAAGATAATAGTGAATATTAGAAAAAAAAAAGCTGTTTATATGGAGAAGACCAGACAATCCACAATGGATAACGGGAAATACCAGGCAGCACAGGCTCAAAATACATCAACAAAAGCTATTGAAACACACACACACACACACACACACACACACATACACAAAATGATGAGAAATAA